GACCACATGCGGAGGCCCTGTGCTGAGCTGCCTCATTGTAATGTCTATTTGAAATTTCCTACCCAACTTTAATGTCAACCCTTTAATGATGTCCTATTTTTAAATTTACTTTTCAACTCTGTAAAGTAATGCAATTACTTTTATTCCACTGCTGTACCCAAGAATTGCACCTAGATACGTGTATCTAAAATGTCACCATAAGATAGACATTGTGAAAGCTTTTCACTGTACTCCTACAATGGAGTACATGTGACAATAAAAGAATGTTCTATACTATATTCAACTTAATGGTAAAGCTAAAAGAGGAGTGCATACATTGAAAGCATTGCTGAAGAATGATAAAATCCAAATTGCAATTCTGAGCTAGTGCACAACTTCATTCCATAATGGTGTAGCTTCTTGTGAATGCCTATTAGAAAAAAGAATTAGAATTCAGCTTCCTCATCTCTCTCTCACACACATGCTATGTGAACAACCTCAAAGTTGGACAAGTTGAAAGGGAAAAATATCATTCCAGTCAGATGTGAACTATAACAAAAATCACAAAGCATGCAAACTACCAGACCCTCAAATAAGACCTGTTTGGATCTGACAATAAGTTACAGACAAGTGGTAGAACAGACACCACACCCACAGTCCTAGATCATTCAAACTGAAAATGGTACTATGCAACACAACAAATGAGCACAAATTTCTACAAGTGAAGCAGTAATTAACACAGTCAAATACACCAGAGATGCTGCATGCATCAGGAGACACAGATGATACCCAATGGCTGAACCAAATAAACCTGCACATTCTCTTGCCTAGCAGTCATGTGACCTTACTGAGGACCTGAATTCCCAATCTCCTCAAAGAGCAGAACAGATGAATAGGGTGTACAGCTGGATGAACACAGCAGGCCAAGCAGCAGAGGAGCAGGAAGGCTGACGTTTCGGGCCTAGACCCTGCTTCAGAAAGCTCCTCTGATGCTGCTTGGCTTGCTGTGTTCATCCAGCTCTACACTTTGTTATCTCAGATTCTCCAACATCTGCAGTTCCTGCTATCTCCAGAACAGATGAATAGACTTGTGAAACCACGACACCAACACAAAACTGAAATCAGACTTCAAGAAAGATCTAATACAATGCTAGAATCTGAAACTTAGCCTCTAACATGACATATCTCCCAAGTCTAACTATGATATACTAATGAGACAGTAATGGGAAATCATACAATGTCACATGCTTTTCATTAGTTTCATGGCAAGGTGAAAGATCACGGCAAGATGTTTCTCAAATAAAGCTAATGCTTTCCTTATCTTGGCAGACTCAAAGTATTCTTAAGCAGCACAACAAGACTGAGAATATTGTAGCTAGAACTGTTATATATCAGTCAGAAACTTGTCCCATTTCCTATAATGCATGAACATTCTGGAAAATATATCTTCACATATTGTTTCCCACACCTGTGGAATAGATCCTGCTACAGCATACCAGACAATTTTTTAAGGCAACTGTTGATTGACTTTCACTACCATGGTATCAAAATTTATATTCAAGGGGTAATTTGTCCTTTTTCAAATGTAATGAGGGGTAAAGTTTAAAGCATAAGAAAAGATCTGCACGTGAACAAAAAAAAATTTTTCATTCTCCACCATATGTAAACGTGTACACTTCCACCTTTTTAAAGGAAGAAAGGAAGGAAAAAGCACACTTGTTTACATAAATTAACCTTCTAATTTCTCAAATTCAGTGCAGGGCACACAATGGAACCTAACTGAAGCTATTTCCATGCTAACCATTTTCCTCTCAAAAGGTCTATGTTTCATGCTTAACCACTTTTCTTCAGGGGTGCAGATTCTTGATGCAACAATTACCTCCCTTAGTATTTTCTTCTGACTAGAATGGACAGCATATATTTCCTCATGTGCAGGAAATATCCTGGACCACTGAACACTAAGCAGGAGGGTGCAAGAAAGTAAGTTAAAATGAGTTAGGGTGACAAGCTGAGAGGAGGAATTTTAGAAGGCCTTTTTAAGCAGAGACAGAGGTGGCAAACAAAAAATGATTTGTATGGAGTTTGAGAGAGAAAGTACCATAATTCCTGAAAAAAAAAACAGCTGAGGAATAGAATAAAGATATAAGATTGCTGTTAAATCAACATATGGAGGACAGTTTATCACCTGGTTTCAGATTTTAAAATTTATAGTTTTGTTTTCAAAAATCACTCAGCCTTTCCCCTCCCCATCTCTGAATGGCATTCCAGTCCTACAACACTCCAAGATCTGTGTGCCCTTGCAATTCCAGCCTCTTGACCGTAAGTGATTATAAACGCGACACCATTGGCTGCTGTGCCTTCAGCAGTCTGGGCCATCAAGTCTCAAGGAACTCCATGCCTAAGACTCTCCACCTTGCTTTCCTCTAAGTCAGTCCTTAAAACTTACCTTTGACCGAGATGACTAATGTGCCCTAATACATCTTTTGGTATTATATTTGTTTCTACCCAGAAGTATCCTTGGACTTTCTATCACGTTACTGATGCTATATAAATACCTTTTTAATGATGCTAAGTACAAGCCATTGTTTCACTTCTAATGCGACTAATATATTGTTTGCAAGTTGCCCCGTTATATCCACTGTACAAATAAGTTAAAATCCACAGGAAGCCATGAAGTTCAGTACAACCATTTTTCTGCGATAGGCTGACCACACCTAGTAGGCTTAGGTTTGCCTAAAAAAATTACTTAAACGAGGATCTTTGTTAGTTCAAGTTGAGCATGTTGAATGTGAAAGTCTTAAAATATATTCAAACCAAGATCTTAATGAATACAATAAATTACAATAAAGGTAATACAGCCAATACCAATAAATTGTTCCTACAAAAAAAAAGCAAAATTGATGACATATCCAAACATGTATACAGAAAATAGTTATTAACATGAAGTTATAGGTTTGATTACCTTTACCGCATCCACTATTATTATACAAAGCAATAATTTAGTCCAAGAGTAAAACTACTCGATTATCCACATTGAAATGTTCCTACAGGCATTCAAGAATTTGATCCTGAATTTCTCAACTAGCTAAAAACTATTCATATGTAACCCCCAAACAAAGCAACCATCCCCACAGGTTACATGGTAACATGGAAGAAAGCTTTTTTTTAAACTGCAAAATCTTTTACTTACTGCTATACATTGCCTCAGTGGCTGTGCTTTCTCCATGGCCTCCTTTTGCATTACTGATCACTTTATAACATGCTATTACAATTTCTTGCATTCATCTCTGTATAATCTTTCTTCCTGGAATCACTAATATCACTCAAACTTATTTGTCAAATCTTAGAGTCATATGTTTATTTTGAATATCACTACTGAACAAGTTCTAATTTATTTGCATTTATTTTCTTATTTAAGTCAAACTAAGCTCTTAATTATAGACCTAGGTCCTGATCCTGTATATTCCAGACTCCAAAATAATATTAAACCTTGTTCATCTGTGGTCACTATCCCCAAGAGGTGACAACTTCAATTTCATCTAGTTTGTTCCAGATCACTTAGAGACTACATCACAATGAGTACTGTCTCCTGTGGCTTCCCAAGTCTTATCAAAATAATGCTATCCAACTCAAAACAACTTCAGTTCTCACATATTCTTGTGCTCATAAAGCAAGATTTCCTCCTCCTTATGCAATATTTCCTGTTACTACTTTTTTTGGCATTGATTATCTACCTGGAATGCTGTACCTGGTCTTTCTCATCCTGCCAAAATAAATTCAGCTAATAAAAGGTGCACCATGTCTTTTTTTCTTGACCACTCTTTTGCACATTTGATCATGATCATTTTGATCCATTGGGTTTAGCAATGATTCTGGTATTTACCCCACATTGTAATTACTTACTGCTACAACAGCCTCCAGTTCTGGCATCTTAATTGCCATGACTTATAGCATTCCCATGTGTACATTGTATTATGAAATCACCTTTCATGGTTCCTCATATGTGGCCAATCCTGGTTTCTGGTCCACATCTCCTTCTTTGACTATCTGTATCTATACCTACATGTACACGTTGAAAATGATTTATTTCTTATTCTGGTTCATCTGGGATCCTGTTTCCTACCTCAAGCTATCCCCACCCTGCTCTGACCTGTCAAACTTCACTTTTTTTTTTTACGTGGCATCTCAATGGTCCTTGCAATTACTTTTGACCTCACTCATCATTAGTGCTCTATAAGCAATTTTAATTTGGAAGGATTCCAAGTTAATTATAAAGGTAACAATGTTGTTCTCAGATTATAAAGCCAGCCACATAGCTTACCTCCTCATTTCTTTAGTGAACTTTCCCAATTTCCTTAATACAAACGAGTAATTGTGTGTTTGAGAGCCAATCCGTAAATGTGGCTACTATTTCATCCTTACAGTCACTGCAGTCTCATAGATTATCTTATTATTTTATCTATTAAATTGCATAAACCTACCAAAGCCAAAATATTTGTTTTGGTAAAAATCAGTTTGAAGATCTAATGCATCTTTCATAAAGGTGGAATCAAACATTATCATACATTTTACTGGCAAAATATTTATGTTGATGCATCAATAGCTGTAAGTAGAGATAGTAGGAACTGCAGATGCTGGAGAATCCGAGACAACAAGGTGCAGGGCTGGATGAACACAGCAGGCCAAGCAGCATCATAGGTTTGCTGTGTTCATCCAACCTAGCTGTAAGCAGAGATCCTGGTTCACATGTAAAGCAAAAATATCTGATAACATTTTTGTTTACATGCCTGCACTTTACAAAACTTTGTTGAACAGAATGACCAAAGATTTCAAGTGCACTGTGTTTGCAAGGTAGCATCCCCATAAGCCTATAGGAATATGATTGCTTGAAGCCTATAATCATTGCCTGTAACTAGAGATTCCTCCTTGCGAGGCCAGGAACTTTAAGCATAAAATGCAGTCAGCAGCACATCTTAAATGAATCAATACACATTCTGCAAGTATTTAAATTGAATACTTACCACTAACAGCTTTCTCATAATTTTTGCCCAAATTTACAAGATTCCGTAATCCTGGATTAAATTGTTCCATTACAGTCTGAAGAAAAACCAAAAAAAATTTGAGGAAGAAATTAATGGCATTATTTTTACCATTATAACATAGCAGGATCCTTTGAAATGTTGCACAACATTATTTGCATGCATTTGATTATGACAAATTTGAATCCGAGGCAGGGATATAAATGGAAAGCAGAAGCAAGGTGAAATGACCCATAAACATATGAAAATGTAAATAAGACTGCACAGCCGTATTTCAGCCGTAAACACAGGTGATGCTTTGCAGTTTTCTGAGGTTGTAGACAGAACTAGCTCACTGTTTTAGATTACCAAAGAAAAATGCTCCTAAACAATTCTTTGGTGATTACAAAGTTATGACTTTATTGAAGGTACATTCCAGCAATTTCCAACCACTTGACACATTATATCAACAATTTTAAATCCTTAAAAACAGAAATTGCTGGAAAAGCTCAGCAGGTCTGGCAGCATCTGTGGAAGGAAATCAGAGTTAATGTTTCTGGAAGGGGGTCACTGGACTCGAAACATTAACTCTGATTTCTCTTCACAGATGATGCCAGACCTACTGAGCTTTTCCAGCGATTTCTGTTTTTGTTTCTGATTTACAGCATCTGCAGTTCTTTCAGTTTTAATTTTAATCCTTTACTATTCTACAGTAAAACTAGATAAGGGGAGGAAACCTAAAAGCCCACAGAGCTCACAATGAAAGTATAGACCTTTTATGTTTATTAGCTTCTCAATTAATTTTATCATGACTTTAATGTTGTTTTGAGAGCATCCTGGTTGTAATAAATGCAGTACGAAAAATAAGATTGTATTTTTTCAATAATTTATTTCCAGCCTTTTGGGTATCGAAAGAACCTTCATCTCAGAACTTTTAAGTATCAATTTCTAGCAAAGATATTGGCCACTGTTGCAGATTCTCAGCAATGTCGTTTAGTCAAAACAAATCAACAAGGAGGTCAATTGATATAAAAACCAATCACTATGGTTTAATCTGATTCTCCATATTTGATTTGCCTATCAACTTTCTTGGACAATCTGCTTGAAGAATTTCCAGGCTGCTATTTCTTGAAATTAGCTTCATTGGGAAACAGGACAAAAATCAATCTGATTCTTCTGTCATTGCTATTATCCAAGAAAGATGAATTCAGATTGTTGTATTGCTTCGAGTAGAACCATCCTCCACAAAAAAAGTAGACCCAAATAAACCAAGCCTTTAAGAAAAAAAATCAAGTATACCTGCTGTTCTCTAATCAACTTGCTGAGGTTTTTTCACACGCATCTGCAGCAGGTGGGACTTGAAGCCAGGTATCCTGGCTCTGAGGTAGGGACACTACCACTATTCCACAAGAACCCTACTTACTAGTATACCAAGTCCTTTGCTTCACTAATATCACGTTAGCTATCTCTCGTGAGTTCTTATTCATCTTCCCAATTAAAATACAATTCCCAAATCATCATTAACCCATAATATATATAAACAATTAATAAAATGACATCACAATCCAGCAGCAGCTCCTGTAAATACATTCCTATACCATCTACTTTAATTGTATCAGATAATTACATTCTGGCTTAAACAATTTCTAACTGGGAAGTTACTGCTCCACCCAATACTTCAGGTCTATTCCTTATCAATTTGACATGCACCAACTGGTATCATTTCTCTACATTAGGGAACAATTTTCTATAAAATAGGTTTCCAAAATGTCCTTTTGATATTACAGACAACTTCAGTATGTTGTGTCAATACACCACACTCCACTATTTACAAAGCAGGCTGCTGACATCAAACCAGCTGATTGCAAAACTTCACCCCTACCATACATAATAGTGGCAATAGGCAGATTGCCATGTCCTTGGAGAGATTATCCATGACAAATGTGTGACCTTTTGATAGATCAGGGCAGAATACAAAGACCTACAATATTGAACAAAAAAAGGCATGCACAAACATCAAAACTGCATGAATTCATAGTTCAGTTTCCAACTCTGACTCCCTTGACTCAGAGAAAAACAATCTTTAAGTGATCTCCTTAAAGTGGTGACTTTTAAAGTAAGGTGTTTGTAATTTTCATTCTAAATCAACAATATGGGAGGTCAATTCACAAAGAAGCATTTCTGATTAGCTTATAATCTTTACTTTATCTAGATATGGTCTTACTGACTTGTTACAGACCAATTTACAGGTCTGTACCTTATTTTTAAGTCTAAAGCTTTTGGATGTCTGTGACCTTAGACTGTGAAACTAGTGAACGATATCATTTAATTGCGACTGAGGTAAGTACATCTTTCTATAAACAAAAAAAATGGCCAATTTCTTACGGAAAATATGGATCTAAACATGTCCAAAATCTCAGCCATGATTTATTATATTCTCTAAAAGATTGTCCTCGATGAGTTTTTATTAAATCCAAAATAATAACCTCATCACCACCTTCCACACCACACCCCCTCCCAACCTTCTTTTGCTGAATCTATTCGTCTGCTGGGCACACCCAGCTTAAAAGCTGACTGAACAGGTAGGTGCAGTGTACTCCTTGCGGACGGAAGATACTCAGCCATCGGGTGGTGACCTTTCACCAGTTTCTCCAACAAAGAGAAAGCCATTGAGCAACCCTTGATGATTAACTAAATACGATTTACGTTTTACAGAGAGAGCACTGTAGCACTTTTCAGTGTGCGCGCACTGACCATCTTAAATAGCTATTGTTTTAAATACCTTATTGTGTCGATTATGAAGTTGCCTTTTGTTATTAAATGGTGAAGTTCCGGGCACAGACCCTCTCCCTCCCCCACACCCCTCGGCTCACACACCTGGAAAGCCAAACGCCTGCTCCTGCTCCTGATACAGGTAAGATATGGCAGTGGCGTCAGCTAAAGTTCCTTCAAAAAGTAGATGTAACACTTAATTGTTAAGTTAAAAAGTAAAGTATTTTCCACTTTCCTCACCTTATAGGTGTTCTCCGTGAGTCTGTTGATATCCTCGGCTTTGCGAGACATGGTTCCCCCTGACAACGACACCCCTCAGAATTTTTAAAAAAAGCAGAAAAGGAATCCTGGATAGTTTTCTGTTTGTAAGGAGGATCGTTTCCGACTTAATTTCCTTTCCTCCGTTGTTTTGTCTTTTTTTTCCCTCTCTCTCTCTCTCTCTCTCTCGAAGTAAATGGATTGCCGGCTCCAGCCAGCGTCCCCTCTCCCGCTCGAGCTCCTGTCAAACTTCTACCCTGCTCTATCCTAATGACGTAACTCAAGCCCACCCACGCCTCTCACTGCGCAAGCGCTAGTCCCCCAATGCACCCCGCCCTCAATACGCCCACCGCCTTATTGCGCAGGCGCACTTCTCCGCCGTTGCTCGCCCACTACCTCACTGCGCAGGCGGCTCTCCGCCCACCGGACCCGTGCCTTCTGTGCAGGCGCTCAGTTCTCTGCATTTGCGCAAGTGTCGGTTGCAGGTCGGTCTGAGGGCTGTACGGTTAGAGTTCGTTAAGGTTTGGGTCTTGAATCTGTCATGTCTTATAATATGAGACAGCAAGGTGCAGGGCTGGATGAACACAGCAGGCCAAGCAGCATCATAGGAGCAGAGAGGCTGACGTTTCGGGCCTAGACCCTTCATCAGAAAAGGGGGAGGGGAAGGGGGTTTTGAAATAAATAGGGAGAGAGTGGGAGGCGGAT